CACCCTGCACCCCACAAGCCTCACCAGACCCCCTCCCCCGAGCGCTAGACACCAAAACAGCCCAGCCCCACCCCAACCTGCTGAATCTTCCTCCGACCCTGACCCCAGCCCAACTCTCCACAGCACCCTGACCCCCACCTTGGTAACAACCCCCCCCGACCTGTCAACTTCCCCTCCCCCCACTAACCCGCCTCCCCACTGCGCCCCACAGCACCCTGTCACCCCCAAATCTTGCCGGCCCCTCCCCGGGGACAGCCGGGCTTGGCCTCACCGTGAGCGGCTGCCCCAGCTCCAGCAGCACCACCGTGATGTAAGCCGAGAGAGAGAGCTCATCCACCACGCCGCCCTGAGGAGGAGAGAGACACCGGGAGCCGGCTCAGACGGAACTGCAGGGCATGTTGCCAGGAGCAGGTGAGCCGCTGCCCAGGACAGGCCCATTGGGCCTGAGAAGACCCGGCTCCAGCGCTCCGAGTGGCTGCGTTTGTGTCCTGCCTCCTGCTGGGTCCTGTCAGGCCCATCTGGGTCCCGAGCAGCTGCCCCCAGTCATAGCAGCCAGGGAGGCCACACGGTGGCAGTGAGTTCCACAGGCTACTTCAGGAGAGGCGGTAGCGGCTCCATAGCCATGGCTGCACTGGACTCCCAGCATAAAACCCTACCTGAGCCCCGCTGGAACCAGAGGCTGGGAAGTTGGTTTGAACTGACATTTGCCAGATTTCCTGTGAAGACCAGGGGCCGTTTCTGCAGAGGCTGAGGGATTCGCCCCTCGCTGGGTGAGTCAATGCTCATTAAATAGTCCCCTCGTGCAGGAATCTGGACTTTGCCTAAGATTTGTCTCCTTCTAGCTCCCAAATGGCCGGGTACAGCCCCAGCCCATTGTGACGTTATGAGTGTAATATAATATCTCACTGAAAGGTGACAGGGCCAGAAAGAGTTAATTAACTCACAGACTGACCTGGCCCATGGCCGAACTTTAGAGACTGGTTAGGAAGATATGTAAATGAATAGAGCTTTGAAATGCAAGTCTGCATTGTTAGAGATCGAAGGGGAGATGTTTGCTCAGGTCTTGTGATGTAAGCAAACAAGTCTTGTCTATTGCTATAACTTTAATTCAAAGATCAAAAAAGGAATATTAACGTTTATGAAGACAATTGAGAGAAATAGTATTATTGTCTCTATGTCTCTTTGAAGGTTGTGGTAACCTGTATCTGAACTGTTTAATGGATAAATTACCCTGTGCTAATTGCCATGATGTTTAGGAGAAGGAGAGTTAAGCCTATTGTTTTCTCAGGCCAAAAGGCTGCTGGAAATGTATAAAAACCTTGGGACACGATCCTTCTTCATCTCAGATCTGCTTTGGGTGTCAAGAGAGGGAAAACTTAATCCACAAGGATTGAGATCCCCAGTCATTGACTGGAGTCACCCTGAATATGGACATTGGATTATAACCTATGGATTTTTTCCAAAAGGACTTTTGGCAACTACAAGCTCATCTCTGCTATGTATCTGAGCCTCAAGAATTGGACTCAAGTCTGTGTGTATATTGATCTTTTAACCAACACTCTCTCTCTTTTCTTTTTTAATAAATTTTAGTTTAGTGAATAAGAATTGACTATAAAGGTGTATTTTGGGTAAGATCTAAGTTATCATTTGACCTGGGTCTGAGGCTTGGTCCTTTGGGATCAGAAGAACCTTTTCTTTTATATGATAAAATAAGATTTTCAGTAATCATCATCATATCTGACATGTGTGTCTGGATGGAGGCCTGAGGCTGGGCACTTTAAGGGAACTGCATTGTTTGGACATCTGCATAACCAGTGAGGTACTACAGAAGCTGCTTTGTGCTGGCTTGGTAAATCTAAGTATTGGAATATCCACCAGCATTTAGGGTTTGTCTACCCCGTTCTGTCTGCAGTTCACCCTGACTGAGTGACCTCAGCTGGCTCCCACGGGCAGCATCGTCACTCCCCTCTTGTAGATTCCCAGCTCCCTGCAAACTCCGGGCAGTGGCAGGAATTGGGCTGTGACTCGAGCTGGGTGGGAATTTCCTGCTGAAATGATTTCTCGACAGACGATGCAGTTTCCACAAAACCAAAACTTTGAGGGAAAATGTTACTTTTGCTGAAACGTTTCGATTTCCGTTGGGAAAATGGAAACGCAACATTCTGCTGTGGGTCGGCGGGGCCCAAATCGCAGCCTCTCGGGTTGGTGACCTGAATCTAAACCTTCCACTGCAAACCGGTTTAACATTCAGCTGCACAGGCTTCGTGCCCCCGTTCCCCCATGGACTCGGGCTCCTTCGGACTTCATCTCCCATGATGCACCGCGACCGCCCTTCTGACTGAGCCACATGGGGAGTTGTGGGAGTCCCATGACTTCAGGGCTGGGCTGGGCCCTGCCCCTCAGGCTCTCCGTGCCAGGCAATGGGTGGGGGGTCTGCTCAGTGCCCGCGGGGAGACCGGGCTGTGCAGGAGCCAGGGGGGCTGGGCCAGGGCTGCTCCCTCGTTCGGTGCAAGAACCCGCTGCCCCGGCCGTTCCAGCCATTCAGCCGTTGCTAAAAAACCCAGGGAAATCCCCCAAACCGACACGAGTGACAACAACCAGCTGCCATGGGGGGCCCCCAACCCCTTCCCCAGCTTCTCCCCTCCTCCCCCATCCCACCTGCAGGGCGTTGTTCAACAGCTTCCCCACACTGCGGAAGCAGCCGGTCTTCCGCTGGCGGTTGTGCAGCCACCCTAGGGCATCCTCTAGGTGCTTCTCATCAATGGAGATATAGGGCCTGGCTTGGCCAAAGGACTTGAGAACGAAGGCCGTCAGCCTGGGTGGGGAGAGACCCCGTGAGAGGGACACTCTGCAGGAGATGCTGCGGGCCAGGAGGGAGGTGCGTGGGGGACGGGGCTGGGGGTCAGCATTGTGGGGGGTGAGCAGAGATGTCAGGGGAGCCCAATATGGGAATGGGAGGATTTGGAGTGAGTATGTGGGGCAGAGCTGTGTGGGGAGCAGGACTGGAATAGCAGTGGGGCTGGGGGTCAGGCTGCAGCCCGGTAGGCCCTGCCCACCCAGAGCTCTGACTCGCCCGTGCCGTGCGGCCCCTCACCAGGTGTTGCCCCTGGCATCTCTCTTCCTAGAGGCGCTGTAAGAGCCGTCGTTGTGTTTATAGAGCAGCTCACGCTCGTAGCCTGCAGGGATGGGAGAGAGACAGCGAGTCCTGGATCCGTTCACCCCCCGAGGGGCTAGAATCCACCCCCAGCCTGCGCCCCGTGGGGCCCGCCAGCCCTCCCCTCCCCCACGACGCTGAGACTCAGAGATTCCAGGGGTCGGTTTGAATACGGGGATGGAGTTAAGGCTGAATTGGACCCCGATCCCCCCAAATGCTCCAGCGCCCTGACCTGGGGCTCGATCCCAACCAGCGCCCCCTCCTAGGGGGGAAAGGGCTCCTCTCCCATTTCCGGAACCCTGAGTCAAACAGTCCTTATGACCTGGGCCTCGGGACTGGTGCCCCAGAGAGGAAAGGCCAAGGATCTAATTCACTGACCCCCAGAGTCAGCCAGGGCCCTGATCTGGGGCTGGATTGGAACCCGGGCCCCAGAGGTGGCATGGACAGGGCCCTCACATGGCCCCGCCATGCCCTGGGGGCGCAGGGGTGGGAGGACACTCACCACTCTGGAGGAATCCCTGGGCCTTGTCTCTGATCTCCGGGCTCAGCTGCCCGCTCTTCTCCAGGTACTGCTGGATGTAGATGTTGGGAGCAAACCGGACCATGTTCTCCTCTCCGGATCCGTAGGGCTTGGCCAGCAGGCGGTCTATGTTCTGCAGAGCCGTGCCCATTATGTCTCCTGGCACCAAGGGAGTTGGGGAAGCAGAGAATTACCAGGCTGCACAATAGCTGCTCCGTCCCTAACACCACATCAGTGGAGCCCTGGCACGCGGGGGCCCAGAGCCCCCAGTTTGATTCAGGCCTGGTGGGGTTACACGGATATGTGGTGATGAATGGCCAAGACGCCAATGCCCTGGCACAACTTCATGGCATCACCGCAGGAGTCTATTGCCCCTCGCTGGGGACGAGGCCCTGGAGCACAGACTGCAGGGACCAGTCCTGCCCTGGCCCCAGACACCCACAAGACCTCATTGGTCTTTTCCATCCGTGATGCCCCGGCCTCTCTGATCAGAACCCTGGGCCACAGATGGGCTGGCTGGTGAAGGGCACCGTGCCCTGGCAGGAATGTGTGGTGTTTAGATGCTGCTGTAATTATTAGAACTGGGAGCACTGGCTGTTGGGAGTCTGAAAGGACAGGAAATAGGAAGGAGGGGGGAGGAGTTGAGGAGACAGAGTGAGCGTTACAAGCCATATGTTTGAGCCTTATCTGCTTGCAATCAGTGCTACAGAGATTTCTGAAGTAAGAAAGCGTGCTCTGCTAATCCACTGCCTTGGAGCAGAAGGGCAGTGTATATTTTACACTTTTCCCCTTGCAGATGATAAATATGAGACTGCACTCACTGCATTAAAGAACTTTTTTGTGCCAAAAGTGAATGTAGTAGCTAATTGCTACAGATTTCGCCAGCGTGAGCAGAAACCAGGGGAGACTATAATGCAGTATATTGCTTCCCTGAGGAGTCTGATTGTAACTTGTGACTTTGGGAATATGGCAGATGAGATGATTAGAGACCAGCTCATTGAGAAAACAACCATGCTTTGTGTAAGAGAACGCTTGCTTCTAGAACCACAACTTAGACTAGAAAAAGCAATAACCATTGCTACTCAGAGTGAGTCAGCTACAGATACAGGAGGCACAGTCCAGGCTGTGACTCCTTTGCAGAAAAGTTCACTATCGCTGCAGACAAACAATTGCAAGAGGAAAACTAATGAAAAGCCACTGAATTAGCAAATTCGAAATACAGTAAAAGCATACTTTCGCTGTGGATCCCCACACCATCTTGCAAGCTACACAGGATGTCCAGCAAAACTAGCTCAGTGCAATCATTGCAAAAAGATTGGGCATTTTGCTAAAGTATGTCGCAGTAGCCAGTCCAATCAACAGGTGCATGCAGTTACAATACCAGATGTTACTGTGCTGCGTGTGGACAAAATCACTACTGCACATATTCCAGAACAGATAATCATAGAATCTCAGGGTTGGAAGGGACCTCAGGAGGTCATCTAGTCTAATCCCCTGCTCAAAACAGGACTAATCCCCAGACAGATTTTTACCCCAGTTCCTTAAACAGCCCCCTCAAGGATTGAGCTCACAACCCTGGGTTTAGCAGGCCAATGCTCAAACCACCAAGCTATCCCTCCCCCACTGCATTGTAAACATTTCCACCATACCCTCAGGCAAATCACACTCTATTCAGCTAATGTTGGACACTGGCTCAGCAGTATCTATACTACCTGATTCCATTTATTTGCATTACTTTAAAGATGTGCCTCTTATTGAACCCAAACTTCAGTTGGTGTGCTATTTGCAAAACCATATTCCAGTACATGGCTGCCTGCCAGCAATAGTTACTTTTGGTGATTGCTGTGTAACTGCAGAGTTCTACGTTGTCCACAAAGGCACTCCTAACCTTGGCAGAGATTTATTGTCTGCTTTAAATCTCAGGGTAGTTAATGGACGAATTGATCTTCCTCAGCAAAGCACTCTTGCGGTACACACACCAGTTTCAGCTGGGACCCAACTCCAGGTTGAGGAGAAACTCAGCTGTGCTTATGGGTTTCTGCATAATGTTAAAATGCGGAATAATGTGATGCCTGTACGACAGAAATTACGGTGCTTACCATTTTCAGTCAGGGAAGCTCTTTCAGAGGAACTTAGAAAACTTGTTCAAAAGGACATTATTGAAGAGATTAACTCCTCGGAATGGGTTTCACCTATAGTAGTGACGCAGAAGAAGTGTGGAGACATTTGCCTTTGTGTGGATTTAAGGGAGCCAAATAAAGCTATTGTGATTGACAGCCATCCTCTTCCTCACATAGAAGAAGTATTTGCAGAACTCCGTGAAGCAAAGATGTTTTCTACTCTTGATTTGCAGAGCGCATACTACCAGGTTATGTTGCATGAAGATAGCAGAGCCCTCACAGCATTTATTACACATGATGGACTATTTCATTTTAAATGTGTTCCATACGGTCTCACATCAGCCCCAATTGCCTTCCAAAAAATGATGTCAGTGATTCTGAAGAATCAACATGGAGTTCAGTGCTATTTGGATGATATTATCGTGTTTGAAAATACTACTGAGGAGCATGACAATAACCTGCAGTCTGTACTAAACTGCATCAGCAAAGCAGGCCTCAAGCTCAATAGGTCCAAATGCAAATTTAGACAAACTGAACTCTCTTTTCTGGGGCATACAATTTCACAGGCTGGACTAAAACCTGACCCAGATCATATCATGGCAATTTCAAATGCTCCTCCTCCAACAGATTTGCAAATCTTACATTCCTTCTTGGGTCTTACCTCCTGGTATGCAAAATTCATTCCCTATTATGCCTCTGTCATTGAACCGTTACAAGAATTACTACGGAGCAGTTCAACCTTAGTGTGGACAACGGATGCACAAGCTAGTTTCAAAACCGTGAAAGACTTGATTGTACATAGTCCAGTACTTGCACTATTCAGTCCCGCATTGCCCACAATTGTAACTACTGATGCTTCTGATTATGGACTTGGGGCTATCCTCACACAACTTCATGAGGACAACACAGAGAGGACTGTTGCATTTGCTTCAAGGACACTAAGTAATGCTGAGAGAAAATATTCTACAGTCGAAAAAGAAGCACTTGCTTGTGTCTGAGCTACTGAAAAATGGAGAACTTACCTGTGGGGCCGCATGTTCACGTTGTGCACAGACCACAGCCCTTTGATGACGTTGCTTACCACAAAAGGACTGGGAAGAGCAGGATATCGTATTGCTAGATGATCTGCAAGACTACTCTCTTTCAATTATGAACTGGAATATAAGCCTGGAAACAAAAATGTGGTAGCTGATTGCCTTTCTCGCCTGTCTTTGCCTTCACCAGATGGTCCACCGGAGGATGAGGATGTAGTAGTTGAGCTTATTACAAGCACTCTTACTCCAGTTACAAGAGAACAATTTCAAGCTGCTTGTTCAGCGTGTCCAATTCAACAAAAACGACGGGAATTTCTGACAAAGAGATGGCCCAGTAACCCTAAAAGCCTTGACCCAGTTTTGCTACCTTGTTTTAGAGTTCGGGATGAACTTTCTTTGCTCGATGGCTGTGTGCTACAAGGTACACACCGGCTACTTGTGCCAGAAGAATTACAGTCAAAACTCATACACCTGGCACACGATACTCATCAAGGAATTGTCAGAACCAAACAACGACTACGGGATCTGTATTGGTGGCCAGGGATGGACTCTCAAACTGAAGCACTCATAAAATCCTGTGTCACTTGTCAAATGCATGATAAGACAGCAGTGACATGTACCCCTCCATTACAGCCTGTTCCTCTTCCTGAATCTGCATGGGAAAAAGTGGCGATTGACATTGTAGGACCCTTTGATACTGCTCCAATTGACTGTCATTATGCCATCACCTTAATAGACTATTTCAGTAAATGGCCTGAGGTAGCGTTTACATCGCAAATCTCTTCTGCTACAGTAATTAAGTTCCTCTCTTCAGTTTTTAGCAGGGAAGGTAACCCCAAAGAACTGGTTTCAGATAATGGTAGTCAATTTACTTCCCTGGAGTTTGAAACTTTTCTAGCAGAGAGGAACATTTTACACAGAAGGTCATCCCTATATTACCCTCAAGCCAATGGGGAAATTGAACGGTTTAACAGAAGTTTGAAAGAGAGTTTGCAAATGGCTCAACTGGAAGGGCGAATGTGGATAACCTTCACGACTGATTTCTTGCAAGCATACCGGGCTACACGACATGCCACAACGCAAAGATCACCCGCAGAGTTACTGCATGGGAAACAGATGACTACTAAACTGAACATTGCTGGATTGTTAAAGGCATGACCTGATGCCCCAAACGAGGATGATGTGAGAAAAACAGGTGAACAGAACCAAGCAAAGTCTAAGGCTTTCACAGACAAGCAGTGGAGTGCTAAGGAACCAAAGTTTGAGTGTGGTTCCTTCGTTAGAATACGAAAACCTGGAATCTTACGCAAAGGGGACCATAAATTCACAGCTCCTCTTAAAATCATACAGAAGAAGGGACTTTACACCTATCGACTTTCTGATGGGCGGGTATGGAATGCTTCTTATCTTGCACCTGCCTATGCACCAAGAGGAGATTATGCCAACACCCAGTCTGCATTGGATGACTTCACCGTAGAACCACCACAACAAGACATTGCACTGGAACCGGGGCTTGAGAGACGGCCTGTCAGACCCAGACGACCACCTGCCTGGACTAGAGTCTATGTTATGTACTATCTACAGTGTTTTCAGTGTAATATTTCTGCCAACAGTATAGTGTCTTGTTTCATATTTGTTCCTGTGGTTAGAACAATGTTTATTTTAATTGGGAAATTTTCTTAAGAGAGGAGGGACTGTGGTGTTTAGATGCTGCTGTAATTATTAAAACTGGGAGCGCTGGCTGTTGGGAGTCTGAAAGGACAGGAAACAGGAAGGAGTGGGGAGCAGTTGAGGCTGAGTGAGAGTTACAGAGGATGCAGCAGCAGCTTGGTAAAGAGGTTTCCATTGTAAAAATAAAGTCCTGTTGAAGTTTGTTAGTACCTTGCCTGGCTGATACAACAGGATGGGGCCGGGGAATTCCTTACCCAGGACAGTCACGTGGGCCCGCTCGGACCCCGCCAGGACGTTCGCTGGCAGCTGCAAGGAGATTTCTTCGGAGGCTGCGTAACACGAAGGCAAAGACAAATCGTTAAAGGCCTGTTGGGAACCTGCCCCTGCCTCCAGCCAATCAGATCCCTCCGTTCCTCACCGTTTGGGGCTCTCACCCAGTCACAGCCCCTCTCTCAATCCCAAGCTCCCCCCGCCGTGGCACATACGTGCCCTTGAGGGCGAGGGCTGGGGGTTCTCAGCGGAGGGTCCTGCCTGTGGGAGCTGGTCCCTCTCCCGGCCCCAGAGAGCCGGTGTGACGAGCTCTGCAGGGAGCATCATACACACGGGGACCAGGCTGCAGGGGAGAGGAGCTGGCGCAACAGGGCCCCAGTGAGACTTGGGAGCAGGAGCCGGACGTGCTCGAGCCTTCGGCCCATGGCAGACGGTTCCATAACTGCCCACTAGGGGGTGCATCTTCCCCAGGCCGCTGGGCCTGGACCCTGTCCCAGGCAGGACATTGGCCTGGATGCCCC